CCACTCTTAAAAGCAAAAAACAACTCAATTTTCTTTTTGTTTTATTGTCTCTCGAGCAATTTCATGTATTGTCTTTTTCGACCCTTCCTACAGCTTTGTGATGTAAGGGGAGAAATTATGAAGGAAAACATTTCCAGTCCAAGGTCTCTTAAATGTTAGGTCACATTGTTTTAAAGTAACATTTTAACTGTTTGTCCCTGAGGATTTGAAAGAGGCCACTTTCATCACAGAGTGGAATCTGCCCTACTCTGTTTATTGAGGGAGAGTCAACATTCAGATTTATTTAGGGAGGGTTCTCTATTTGCCTCAGGTCACCTCATGTTTTGAAAGTTATCAGTAGAAGAAAATCTGGGTGAGGACCTGGGAAAAATAGGAGTGAGGGTCAGGAACACTGGCTTGTGGATTTGGGAACCATAATTTTGACCCAGTTGTAGACATGACTAAATGCCATGATCCTGAATTTACTTCAGTTTGTTCCTGTAAATATTTCCCAACAAAATTGAGGTGAGCAAGACCTTACAATTGTGTCAGCCAGCCTTCCCAGAAAGCTTTCAAACTTGCTCCAGGGCAGTGTTCTACAAGCCGTAGTCGAATCTACGGTCAATGCTCCTAGGGCGCCAGTGGCAGCAGTGCCATTTGGGCTGAAGCTCATGTGTACAAGGCCAATAACTATTCATCTATCTTCAGTGTGGGTTTTTTCCTTCTTAAAGAGAAAATATTAATAGACTTCCAATATGTAGATCATTAGTAGAGAATGATTATGATTGATGCATACTTTTATGGGGTGAATTAATTCAATGATAATCCTCGGTCCCAAAATAATTTGTGAAACCTCTTCCTCCCAAGAATCAATATCATCAAAACGATGTTCTCTGGCCATAATGCAATACATTTAGACAATAATTGAAAATAGTTTTAAAATCACAAGACTTGGAACCAAATTGAATTCACTTTACAACCCTTGGGTTCAAAAGGAAATCAAGGGAAATTATAATATACTTAGATTACAGATCTTAACAACATAGCACTGAATGAAAATAGAAATAAGTACAATAAAAATCTTAGCAGTGATTCTCAAAGGATTTGTGATAAAGGACCAGTTTTGTTAAAATTTTAGTCAGTCACAGACCTATTTTTTTATCTAATACAAAAAAATTACTAGAAAAGTGAAATTTTAAAAAGCAAGGATATGCAAAATATAGGCCCAAATTTTTAGTTTTAGATTTCAATGGTATAAAATTACATCTCAATAAATATAATCAGAACAAATATAACATAAGAAAAGTTTTCTACATGCTAATTCTCAATTTTTTTTTACTTAATACAGAGCAATGTCGAAGAATTTGGGGACCCGTGTTCTGAGCAACACTGATTTATAGCACAATGCCATTTATATCGTTTAAAAATACATACATACACACAAAATCCATGATTTAAAAGAATGCATACAAATGAAGAAACAAACATCAAACCTATTAAAATTGTTTAAGGGGAAGATGGAACAAAAAGGAAATTTGAATACATGAGAATCTGTCAATCAAGAGAGTGACCCAGCACAGACCAATAAGAATGATGTGCTGTGAGTATGATTAACTCAAAATCTGCCTCTGAGGCTTTGTGTGCACGTGCGCGCGCGCGCGCGCGAACACACACACACACACACACACACACACACACACACACCCAACACACAATCCCCAAAGAAATAAATGAAATATAGTCTTTTCCACATTTTTGGTCCTTTTTACCAACTTATTTTCCATCTACTTTGACTCATCTCACTATCTTTAACTTTTTCCCCCTACTCTTTGAGCTACATCAAACACAAGAATTCATCAGGTAGATGTATTTTCCACAGGGTTAAATGTATACTTTGTTTTTCACCAGTGTCATCTGAATAAACCAAAGGTATCTACTATAAATACCTTGGCTAATTTATATTGGTAAGAGTCAGAGTGAAAGAATTTTAGATCTTGGAAAGATCTCAAATATGCTGTCTGTACTTTCTTCATTTCTCACTTACTTTTAGCCTACCCACAAGTCTGAAACATACCTTTCAGAGATATATTTTAAAAGCTTGATATTTGGCCAATAAATGGCCACTCCTGTCTGTTGATTTAAGATCTTTGTTCTACAGTTGTGTGACTTGAAGTCATGGTATTACTACATCTGGCACCTTCCTTTTTGGAAGCTTCCTCTATAGGAAGAGACCCTGCATGTCCGATTTGCACCTAGTGCTCCATTTTGCAGTTTTTATATGCCCAGGAAAGTAAGGGGGAGGGCTTAGCAATAGTTATCTGTGATTTGATCTGTGAAGAAAAATAATCTGTCTTTGTGTGACCCCAAACCCTTTTTTTTCACTGAAAAGTAGATTTTTGGGGTTGATTGATCAAGATAATCCTTTCCATTTCCATTTTATTGGTGGGGACGTGATCCAGTTGAGTCTGGAAGTATTTATCCTGCTTTATTTCTTGCTTCAGCCCTTCAACACTCACCACTGGATAGTAATAACTAAATGAGTAGATTTTGGAAGTTCATCTATTTTTCTCAACCCCACTGGGTTTCAAAATTAACTACAAAATTAGTATGTACTCATTATAACAAGTCAAACAACACAGAGGTATCTAAAGAAAAAGTAGCCCCTTCTGACCAATCAGTGTTCGATTATCCAATATGTAGGGCAAGGTTGTACTCAGGACTCACAAAAACAGGGGGGTCCAAAACATTTTTGAAAGAATGTTATGTTGGTATTTCTGAAGAAGCATTGGACAAATGATCATGGTAAAAATCAGAAATCTTTGGACTTCTTTATATTTATTTTGTGTCTTAGTATTTTTATTTAATTTTATAGATTGGTTGAGAGGAAAACAAATATGTACAAATAGTGCATATATGTCAAGATTAAATTTTGTTCATCAAGTTGACCAAGGAGCTATTAAAAGGATTACATTTTATTCAAAGTGTATATTTGTATATAATTTTTACATAATTATAATTTTGAGTTATTGTTCATCTTAAAATTTCACTTATCATTTTGTAAATGTGTCCATGTTCATAAAGAGCTATTATGCTTATTATGCAATCATTGTAGTCTATTCCATTGTACTTATAAACCACCTTGCTTGTCCATTCTTCCACTGTTAAATATTTTCTTAATTTCCTACTGACATGAAATTTGTGTCTATATTTTTATTTCTGCACATAGCTATTTTGCTTTTTAAAAATAATGTTCTTGGGATAAATCACTGGAGTGATATTGCATCAAAACTTATGGATATTCACATAACTCTTCATATCTGTGACCAAATTGCTCAGCCGAAGGATTCTATAGATTGACCAAGGGTAGACTGTATGCATTCTGAGTTTAGAAGTAGTTTGGAGTGTAATGAGGTGGACGCAGGTGAGGTTGGAAGCAAGAAAGGGAACAAGAAGGAGGTGATTGTTCTTATCCTGGCAAGAGATGTGTATGTGTATCTCAACTACAATAGCAGCAGTGAGCATAGAGAAAAAAAATGAATATAATAAATATTTAGGAGGTGGATTGGACAGGCTTGATGATTAATTGGATATGGGGAGGAGGGAATGAGGAAGACTGGAGGATGAGTCACTGGTTTTTTTGAATTTGAGAAATGGATGGAATAGAACAGGTTTGGGAGAGAGGAGGACATTGAGCTTACTATGCACTATATCCCCAATATCCAGCACAGTGGCTACTACAATAAAGGCATTCAATAAATGTTGGTTGAATGAATGCTTCATGAATACGTGAAAAAACAAAGGCTGCAAACAATGAATCAATGTTTCTATTTTCCAAACCCTCACAGTATTTGGTTGTACACCTAGAAGTTGATCTAGTGTTTTTATTTCCTCAATAGATATTTTAAACTCAGGATTCATGAGAACAAGAAGTGAGAAGATTAAGAAAGAAATTGTGGAGAGTCCACAAAGCTCAGGACTTCAGAACAACCAGATCCACCTCTCATAAAATTAGTCAATTACTTTACACAGTAAACCTTATACCAAATTACATAGTTTTAGCTATCCCTTAGAAAGTCAGCTCGCCCTGAGCTCAGGCTGCTAAGAACTCAATATCCCTGATTCAGAATGAAGAATGGCTCTGTTCCTTCCGCTCTTCTCAGAGTTCACCAGAGAGGGACTGAGCAGTTGGTTCCCTAAAGCTCTTCACTCTGAGTTGCAGTCCTCTTGGAGTGACCAGGTGTGAGCGCAGGTGTTTGGAGCTCAAAGCTTCCGCTGGGAGAATCCCCAAGCAGCTTTCTGTCTCTAGCTGCTCTTTGGGTACCGTGCACCTTAGTTATGTGATTGTGACTTGTGCCTGTGTTTTTATATGCTGTTTTGTCACTTTGGGTTGCTGCACTCTCCTGTATTTGTCATGTATCTCCTGGAGGGCAATAACCATTTCTATTCCCTTTGTAACTCCCCTAGATGCAGGTATAATGTTAGCATAAAGTGAGGGCTCAACAACTACTAATAATTGCCCAACTGTAATTACTAAATTGGTGAAAAATGGTGGTTTTTAATAGTCAATAAAAGGTACCAAGTATCTAGTCTTAGGAAACAAAAGATTTATTGAAATGCATGTAGATAAATTATCATCAGCATAAAACTGTTAGTGGAGTTTTCAACACGGGTTCTTTTTACTCTTAAAATGAAGTGAGGCTTTGCAAGTCCATTGTCCCATAGGAAAAATATATTTTTCTGTTCATATAAAATCCTTTGAAAAAGCAAATATCTTTTGAAATGGTCTTTTAAACGTCTCCAGCCTATGAATATATAACAAAACAAAAAATATATATTAAAAATATATAATTCTCTCTGTTTAAAAAGAAGAATTGAATATGAATGATTTGAGGTAAATAAGATGGAAAATACTTAGTTATTTGAAACTCTAAAATTTTCTCCTATTTTGTTAGTATATACTAAAATATTTAGGAAGTAATAAAAATTTAAAAATTATCAAGACAAAATGACAAGTGATCATAAAAATGCAAAAAAATGATAAAGTTTTATTATCATAGAAGGAAATAAGTCAAAACGTTATGTCTTCAAATTGACAATTTTTAAATAACTCTGATTTCAGCGATTTGGAAATACAGTCCAAAGTGAGTTTTAATTTCCATTTAAGGCTAAATATCCTTAATAGAAGACTTAAAATCAATAAATATGGTGAGAGAAAATAGGAAGAAACTTTCAGAAAATTTCTGAAATTTTGTGGATCAATAGATATTAGCAGTTAATTTTCTACAAATCAGCCCCAGGGTAAAATGACTTAGTCATATTCTATTTCCACGTTGTGTTCTGGCCCCACCTGCTTTGATCCCCCCAGGTGGTGTTGCTGTCCTTCTCCAATGGAGAGTCTGTTGTATGGGATCATCTTCATAGTGGTTTTCTTCATGGAATACCACCGGGATTTCCAAGTGGCCCAGATAATGCCGTTATCATAACCATTAGGAGTAGACGCTTTTGAGTAAGTGCCACCTAAGACAAATCACAGATGTACATATTATTGATCTCGAATTTCCTTACCTCAGCAGTCTATAAAGAACTATTATGAAGTGCACTGCCAGTTACATCAAATTTATAGTGTTATCTACTAACCCTATAATCTCAATTTATTATTAAAATAAATGTATTATTAAACAACTCCTTATGTCTGTGTTGTGCCTCATGATCACACCCATACTTTAAATTTATTCACTATAAGCAGAGCTATAAACCCACAGTTCCCTAATTGGCCTCTTTCCCTCAGCTTAGCCATGCTGGACTCAGCTATTGTGGGCATCTTGCTTCAGGCAGGTTAGAATAGCAGGGTGCAACATTCCTGATCAGGTGGTCTCAGGTTATCTGAAAACACAATTTTACTGGTTAATTGAAGAAGGTATGAAGGGCTTTAGGAAATGGTTCTAGAATGTTATTTTACATCTCCATTATAAAGTGGAGACTAGGTTGATTTGCCTTCTCCTTGTGCCAGAGCACCAGATCTCATGTAATTGTGTAGGGGGGTTGTCTGAGTTCAGTACTGGAGTGTACTACAAGCTATCAACACGGCTACCCGGGGTCATACGGCTCAAGCACTTGTCCTGAGACTTTCTTCTAATTGTGTGGCTTGTTGGTGCAAAAATAAGTTAGAATTTTCCAATTAAAATGTTGGGAAAATCAAAAGGTTACTTTAAATAAACTTTGACAGGACTCCAAGTTGGCTATTGGCTGGGATGATGCTCTTAGGAAGTAAGGTTGCTCATCAGTAGGGCTTCCCCACACATAACTGTTGGGTAGTAGATACAACCAGTTTTCCAAGCCATTCTAGCCTTATTGCAAACTATAGCCTACCCCTGCCCCATCCTAAAATAATTGTCTACAATCCCCGGACTGGACTCTTCTCTCAAGCTTTCATGAACCTCTGCCCTTGCCAGTACTTCCCCACCCTTGATTCCATTCTTCCGGACACCTGCTCTGTGCTCACTGGGTATATCTGACACATAGCTCACGGGAAGCTGAGTCAGGCTCATGTGTTAACAAGCATCACTATGGTAATGTTAGTCTATCCAGATCAGATATATGGTATGTCTAAAGCAGATACCATAGCCCAAAGTGCCAGCTATGATGGTGATAGTTTTGCTTACAAGGAAGACCACTGGATATTTTGCAGCAGGTGAATTTCTTGTAGAAGGGCCAATTTTAGGCATAAGCTTGGTATTATCCAATTCCAATTTAAAATGAAGAACCATATGATAAAAGCCCCACTCTACTATCTTCACTAATTATTTATCATTTCTTTATATTTATTTATTACCTTTTATAAAAGTAGTATATGCTATATATTAATTGGAATCTAAGAAAGAAAGACATACCTTGGTAATAAATTCCATTGAGGTGGCCAGCGTGACACTTGTTCATCCACCAACCAGATCCATCCTGTTCAGCACAGTTGCCTTCAAACTTATCATTGTCATTGTCCCAGGTACTGAACTGCATGCCATTGTGGGATGTGAAAAATTTGTCACTAGGATCATCACCAAAATCATAGCCATCAAAGGCATCTCCAGCTTCTCCACCAATGAAGTAGGCATATGTCAAGCGGTACTTGTCAGCTTCAGGTGCCACCTTGAACATGGCATAGTCTGCATGACTGTGAAGAGAGGAATAGAGACATCATATCCTGAGCCTCCTCGGGGATCTCAGAAGTTCCCTCTTTCATAGGACAGTTGCTTCAAATTTTTCACTTTGCTTCTTAAGACTAAAACGTGCTCATTGAGTAAAGTTTTCTGCAAATCTGGCAAGAGGCAATGGATGTGTGAAGCAGTCAAGAGCTCATCAATACCACCCAGGGTGAGTTCAGAAGCCTTCAAGACATCCCAGTGAGAACAATAACCTCACCCATTTGAATGTCATTTGCTTTTTTTTCATCCTAAAATCAAATCAAGACGTGTGGATGAATTGGACTAATTTCACATTTTCAACTTTTTAAAAAATGTTTGGCATTGCACACGTTATCACAGATCACAGTCGTTATCTGACAGTGAGTGACCCTTAATTAAGGCACCAAACTTGAAGGAGTCACAGCTCCGTTAGCCACTCATATCACCTGAAGGGTGAGGTGCTAAAGGGTTTTTCCCCCCCAAGGCAGCATGATAGTGGAGGGAAGGAGGGCTTCTCTGAGAGCAACAAAGAAACAAAGTGGTCCCTGTGTAGCCCACAGCACATGTGCTGTGGGACTCAGAGAGATTCTCTCCTAGAAGAAATTGGGAAAGAGGACCATAATTCTATGGTGTAAAGGGAAGAATGGGCCTTGATGAATGAACAGAGATTTCCAGAAAGTACTTAGCTTCTTCCCTAATGTCCAGTACTTGGGAAATGGGTGACACTCTCCTAGGAGAAGTTCTACTGACTGTGGTACTTTCTGGGTTAACAGACACACAAACAAATGAAAAACTCATGTGTTTGGAGACAATATATCTCATTATTCCCAAAACATAACAAGAGGGTTGGATTTTTTTCTACATTTTAATTAGGCATACAAGGCTCAAAACACCCTCATATCTCTGAGATAGAGAAGGCTCTAGGTCACCAAAGGAGCTGACTGATTTAATTTTAGGGTAGCCCATGATTTGACACAATAAATGGTCATTAAAACACTGGGAAATCTAAAAAGGCTGATTTTGCTTTTCAACAGGGTAGTTGTTAAGAGTGCAGGCTCCAGAGTCAAACTACTTGAGTTCAAATCCTACCTCTACCATTTACTAACAATGTGCCTTTGGGCACATTAATCTGTAAAATAGGATTAATAATAGTACCTGCCTGGTGAAATAGTAATTTGGATTAGATTAAATTATAATTTCATACTCAATTTATGGTACATATTAAAAGCTCATTAATTAGCTATTATTCTGAACGGTTCCAGGTTAAGGAGATTGTACCAAAACACTCAGATCAATCCTAAACAGGACCTGCCTTTCTGGACTGCCCAAGAACCAAATTAACTCCTGGGGAAAATGGCTGGATATGCATTTTGTCTCTGTCAGGCTGTCTTTGCCATTGTTCTATTGATAGTTGGAAAGTACACATGCCAGACAATCTCTACAATAAAAAGTTAGAAGTCCTTTCTAAAGAGTACCTGGTTCTTCCATTCCAGTCTTCCAGTTCCACTCTTAATACATATGGGATTGCAGACTGTGTGCTTATCAAATGAATCTTCTCATTTCCGAGCCAGAACTCTGTGGTGCCAGTAGGAGACAGGTGTCCAAACCCTTCTTTATATTGAATCCAGTTTTTCTTGAAATCTAGACTGCCGTCAAGTCTCTAATTACACGATTGCATGGGCAAAAGGAGAGAAAGGATTATCAACACATGTAAAGAAAATGTTATCGATATCTTGTTAAAAATATGGAAAGATGATTCTATCAACTACCAACTAAGTGCCTTGGCCAAGTTAGTTCAGTTTCCTCATCTATCAAACAGGAGAAATGATGCTTACTTCATAGGGTTGCTGTGAGGATTACATGAGTGAATATAAGAGAAATATCTAAAAGAGTGCCTGGCACATGGTAAATTAGTATTTAAAAGACACGTAGCAGACTTCAGAACTCAAGCTTGATATTACTTGATATTACTGATGGTAGAATGGTCACAGTATTGCTCAATCTGCATCTGCCAACCAATGCTTCTGTCATTCCCGCCCTCTGAGCGCCCTCTGCAGGAGCAGTTGTCCCAGTGGCAGGAGGTAAACAGAAGGTAAAGGAACCTGGGGTCTGCAGTGGCTGTCAGCAGCTGGAAGAGGCAACAAAGGGCCCTTGTCTCGGAGCAGCCCACCTGCATCCTCTAGGGGGGCTTCATCATGTTGTGACAGCTGGCCTTAGCTCTTGATCTACCTGACGGAAGAGGTCCCTTCTTGCTCTTTGTCACTATGGTATGATGATTATGTTCTATCATGAATCCGCAACCGCAGTGCCAGCACAGTGCAAAGTCAAAGCACAGATTCTGAAACCAGACTGCCTGGGTTTGAATCCTGACTCCATTACATATTAGTTATGTGATCAGGGGCAAGTTACTTAACCTCTTGTACCTCAGTTTCCTCTATTGTAAACAACGGTAATAACACTATCTACCCCACAGGGATATAGTGAGCGTTAAATGAGTTAATGTTCACAAGGTGCTTAGAAAAATATCTGGCACATGGCAGAAACAGTGTAGGCGCTTACTAAATACATATAGTGAGGAAAAAATTACCTTCTGAAGCACAGTCCATCCATTTCCAGATCCATCGATTTCACAGTAGACTAAGAACTGCTGCTTAGCTTTTAGAGGTTTGACAAAGTAAAGCCCACTCACTTTGGCTCCCTTATTGGCAATGTCTTGGCAATCTGAAGAAGGAGAAGCAATTTTACTGTGCTTTGAAATCCAGGTAAGACTGTGATAGCCTTGAAAATGAGCTTTTAACTTGTAGAAAGCTATTCATTTCCCAAGAAATATTTTCTTACTTCTCATATAATCATTCCTTTCAAACTATTTTTCGCTATTCAGGAAAAGTGTGGGCAAGTGAATGCTTAGACTCAATGGCTAGACACTTTTCAATTTGTTCCTATACATTCTGATACATACAATCTCCTTTACTTTGCATATTTTCTTTGATGTACATGATCCCAATATGAACCTCCTCACTTACCTTTTCCAGTTATGTCGTGTATTTGTACTGTGTCTTTGCAAGGTTCCTGGCACTTTTCTTCAAGCTGGGCTACCTTCTGTCTCAGGTTCATGATCTTCTGATTATTTGTATTATATATTTCCTGTAAATACCTACAAATGGGTCAATAAGATAACAAAATACAAATAGTCCTTTCAGGAAAGTAATTTTTTATTTTAAAAAATAAAATTAAAAATTTTATTTTATTTTAATTACTTATTTTAAGAGAAAATAAGTATTTACTTTTAAAAAAAATTACCTTATTTTCTCAAGAACTATTTCTGATAAATTACTCAATTCTTGGAAAATTTCTAAAATTTTGTTATTGAATTGAGATAAATTAGAATTCTAAGCTTTTTGAAAAACAAAAAAAATCAGTCAAAACAGGAATATAATTTTGACCTGAATCTTTTCACCTAGAATGGGGACTATAGCCTCAACTCTGAACGCATATAACAAAGCCCTTGTCAATACACATGGTAAAGTGGTCATTTTGATTTTGACCTTATACATAAGGGGCAGCGGATAACAAGCTATATGAGTGATGAACCTGGTTAGTAGGAACACCTCCTGATGACAAGAAGCAGGAAAGGCCCTGTTTAGTAGGTCACATGTGGCAAAGCACTATTCCTTTTCACTTGTGGATCTGTTAAGGATCTATTTATGGGCTTCAATGTCTAACTTACAGAAAAATATCTGGGACGTTAGCATACACAAAACGAAACCACAGACACTTTCCCTTTTTTCTTTAATGTTGCTAGGTATATAACTTCACAGTAGGGTTGAGGGAAGTAAAAACCATGCTTTTGTAGTTTCCCACGGGGTTGCTTGTAAATATTCAGAAATGATAGAAAACTTTCTACAATGCATAAACTGTTGTGTCTTTCTTTGATGTAAAGAAGGCTATCTGAACCCTTTAATTTCCCACTTTGTCTTAAACAATCTCTGCACAACGGTCTCCCTCAACTTCAATGATGCGCAATAACAATGCAAATTATTATGATAATAATAGTTATAACAATAATAACAATGGTCCTCTGATACCAAAAAGAGGAGAAATCCCTCCTGGGCCACTTCTCCCTAGCCGTTTATCTCAATTTCTCATGCTTCTTTGAAAACAATTTAGAAAAAAAATTGGAGAAGAAGCTAAAACTGCATCTGAGACCTCATATTCTGAAAGTTTATGCGTCCCTAGGAAGCTATTAACAGAGATGTTTCACTTCCAAATGAAAGGGGGAGAATACGCAAGTTCAATCTGCCATTATCAATGGGTAGCTTTACAATATTTGGTAAACTTAGTCTCTTAAAACATGTTTTTTCTGCTCCACCTTTGATATAATTTACTTTAGTAGCCAAAATCCTTCCTATGCCCCTGCTTGCTAATTTCTTACCACGAATTTGGTAACATTTTTATAAAAAGAATTTTACTTTCAACATTCAACTTCCAATGAGTTTGATTTTATGGTGTAAGACAATTCGGGAGTGGGGAGAAAACATTTAGATAAATATGGTCATAATAGCATTTGAAGACATCTTGGATTTTATAAATGGAATTTTAGAAAACCACTAAAAGGTCACTTTCACCTAAGTATGGAATATTAAATAAAAACTAAATCAGTCTTGCAGAGCAAATTAAAACAAAAATGCTTACCGAATACTTGAGTCATGTGATAAAATCAATGTTTCATATTTCATAATTTCTTCTAGCATTTTCTTGGAATTCAGAGTAGCACTCTCTACCGTATCTATAATATGGATCAGAGACATAAAAATACTTAAACAAATAATATTTAAGCAAAAAATACTTAATCAAACTAAAACAACAGCAAAAGAACTTCACAGATGATTTTCTCAGTCAGTAGTGTTTAGTTTCTCACTTGGTTTTGTTGGTTCATTAGGATTATAGCTGACTTGGAGTGCTTTGATCAATTCTTTGGCTTCTGCTGTGCTGTTTTCAGCTTGATTTAAGATGTCTTCCAAAGTCTGTAGGTCCTTATCTACTTTGGTTTGGTAAGTAGAGAGGAAATCTGCAATGCCACAGGTAGTTGGGCAAAAACTACCCTGAAAGTATAACATTGAAGTGAATTAAAATGTTGATAAATGCTACACTTAAAATCTACCTGTTAATAAAAATAGATAAAACCCACAACTCTGTTTTTAAAAGGTTGCAAGTGTCGAATGATATTTGTAAGAGAACTGCTTCTACTCCTCTGCCCCTCTCCAGCTCCAACATGAAATGAGAAATATAAAAGCTACTTACAAATCGTTCATCTAAGATGCAGCAGTTGTCTCTGGTAGCAACATACTAAAGGAGAAAAATACAGAAATTTCACTTGTTTATCAACTACTTTCTTATTTTCCAGTTTTCCATTTAAAACAATATGTTTTGTGATCAGCGCACTTACTGCCAGGCATGTTGAAGAGAGTAATAAAAGAGCGTAGAAGTTGAGGATTAAACTCCGGGGGTGCAAGGACCAACTCATGATGCCTAGGGTGCCCGGTGCGCCGAGCCTCGTAGTCAGCACTGTGGCCTCCCAGGCTCCAATTGTCCCTTTATGTAAGCTCCTGGGACGGCCGGGACTGCTAGTGGCTGGAGCTTGTCACGAGACTTCCTTACCAGAAGGGTGGAGACATCTTTCCTGTCCCTTTTTCCTCATCCTGACCCCCAACCTACGCACAGTTTCCCAGATTTTGCACACAGGTTTTCGCTCCTCCTTTTTGGCCCAGTTCAACTTTTTTCTTCTGACCTAAAATCATCTCCAAAGGCTAGTGAAGCATTAGCCATTGCTGTGAGGAGGGAGCGCAGCCGGGAAGGCTGTGTTGCAACTTCTTCCAGGACAAGGCTGAGAGAGCAAACACAGAGATCTGACCTCGACCACAGCAAACCTGGCCCATCTTTACAATGGGGTCTGCTGCCAGCCCCTAAATTACCGAAAGAACTTTCTTAGCCCAGGGATGAGGTAACATAATTATTTTTAACCTGTGGCTATGGCAGGAGGAGACTTTTGCCTTCCTCAATATTCCCAGGAACGATCAACACTGGAAATACATTCCTGCCCCTCTGTGTTGGCCATTGTCATAGGCTGTCAGTTCTCAGTGAGCTTTGGGGCACAACTCTTCCCTTTGTCTGGCTTAGCACCCCATCTGCCACAGAGGAGAAGGGAGCTAGGAGCTCACTTTGTTTTTCCTGCAGTTCCGTCCAGTTACCTAGAGGAAAGCCTGGGTATAAGACACAGGGCCTAGGAAAATCCACCTCCCTGGTATCAGACTATAGTAGAAGCCAAGCTGAAGGAAAAGGGACAAAATGAGACATGGGGACCAGAAGGGCATCATCTTTGTCCCGCCCCTACAGCTTCCTTGGGTATTGGGAAAACATGCCTATCATCACCTCCTACTGACAGCCCCCAGCTGTGCGTTACGCCATTATCGATGGCCCTACTTTTGGTTACCCCTCACTTCCTTCTCTGAAACCAAGCCTACTGCAAATTTTGATGACACATATTAGTGGGAGAAATCCATCCAATTTGAAAGAAATAATCTTTAATGTTTGATTCCAAGTCTTTACAAAGGAATATTTATGCTTGACTTGAAAACAAAGATAAATGTTCATGTTCCGTAAATAATCAATAATTGTTATAACAAAGTGAATATACCAAAGCCAGATTTGTTGTCTTTTCTTCCCTCTCCTCCTTATCAGTTATTGCCAATCACATCACCGCACCACCAGTCAATTAAGGGTCTCGTGATCAATCTTTTTCCTCCACCTTATCTACTCAGCTAATCAGTTGTTAATCAAGTTAGTTGAATTAAACATCAAAGTGTTAGTATTCTTTTCAAACAGCTCTACTTCTTTTGTAGCTTTTATAGCAGCTTTGTATTATATGTATACATGCCATATTCACCTCTTTAGATCGTAAACTGATTTCTATGGCTATAACACTAGCATAGCAATATTTAACACTCAATAACTATTTGATGGCTTGAATTGAATCAGTTGCTTCTGTGGAGAGGTATGGGGTGAGTGGCTGAAAAATAAGGTTGGGAAAAAGGGTTCATTTTCTCTGTATACTCTGTATCTTAAGAATTTTGAATATATGTACATATTATCTACTAAAATATGTATAATTAAAATATGTAATTATTGATCACTCACAGTGATTTATTTGGTGTCCTAATAATTGCTTCTTGATTATTTTTTGATTTGACTATAAAAGGTGAATAGGACACCGCCTTTGCCTTTAAGGAGAGTATAGCTCAACTGGAGAACATATACATAAATAGTTCTTAAGAGCTCTGGAGTCCATCTGCCTGGGTTTGAATCCCATCTCTACAACTTAGTAGCTGTGTGACTCAGTACTAGCTACTTAACCTCTCTGAGTTTCATTATCCATGTTGGGAAAACAGCTAATAGTTATAACATAGTACCTCCTTAATAGGACTGCTACCAGGATTCAGTGGGATAATGTATTGAGCACATTACCTGATTCACAGAAAGTGTTAAGCAAATGTTCATAGGCTTCTAAATTACCAAATGTATTTGGTATAAAATTTGTATAAATAGGAAACTCATTTAGTAGAATTGTAAGAGGGACCATTATTGGTAGATTTGGTTCATGGGGAACGAGCTTTGTTGTTCCATCTATGGAAAGTCCTCGTCAATAATCTCTTGCAATGATCAGACTGTAACTGCAGTCTGATTCTGTAATGCTTTACAGAGAAGAAAGCACTAGATTGTCTAGTTTAGGAAATTCCATTCAAATTAATTCCACCAAGCAAAGATCAAAGGATAATGCAAATAGACTGCATGCCTTTTGAAAAGGTGTATTTTCTATCAGTAAGAGTGTCCAAACAAAGACTGAGTGATTCTTTGTGGTTCTTTTTGCTGAAGACCAAAAAATAATGATTTGTTGAATTTGAGGTAACAATTCATGCAGTCACAGGTTGGGTTTTGGGCTCTTTAACTTCATAAAGTTTCATTAGATGTATCAATATGTATAATATTCACAAGGTTGATAAACACTTAAATCGAGGAAATTAGAAATTCTACCTTATCACATTTACTTGTATTCCTGGCTTTTTACTGACTTGTATTAGAATCTGAGATGCGTTATCACAATTTTAGAGAAAAGAATTTGCTTTTACCACAATCTCAAGTATTAAATTTAAATCATATTAGACAAGATGCTTTCTGAGAAAAAAAATGGCCAACAGTGATTTAGTGGCCTATGTTGGCCCTGCATTCAATTTCATACCACTTAGGTATATTAAATTTTCTTTTTTCTTTTTTTCTTTTTTTCGAGATAGGGTTTTGTTCTGTCACCAAGGCTGGAGTGCAGTGATTCCATCATAGCTCACTGCAGGCTCAAACTACTGGGCTCAAGAGATCCTCCTGCCTTAACCTTCCAGTTAGCTGGGACTACAGACATGCACCACCATGTAGGGCTAATTTTTCTCATTTTTTTAGAGAAAGGGTCTCACAATGTTGCCCAGGCTGGTCTCGAACTCCTGGCCTCAAGTGATCCTCCCACCTCAGCTTCTCAAAGTGCTGGGATTACAGGCATGGGCCACTGTGCCCAGCCAGGTTTATTACATTTTAACTACTTGTTCCATGTTTGGGCCAATTTTTTCTTTGATAAATGATAAATGATTAATGAGTTCCAGGAAAGAAGAATATTTCTTAAATCGCATTTCCTATACTTTCAGGTTTGTTTTTTGAGAAAATAGCATTGGTAGTATTTAAGCCAAAATAATCATTTAATTTAATTCAGGAGTCAATGTGCTTGTTTATTGAAATAATAATTTCTTAACTTACCTATCATCCAACTGTTTTGTGTTCTGATTTGAAAATATCACATCTAGTACTAACGGTCTTTCATGTATATTGATAATTCATTCTGTGAGCCTCTTATCTGTTTTGTTCATCTTGGCTCCAAAATTATTGCTGAATTTGAATTTGATTGTGTAGAATTAATTCATAAATGAAGAAGATTTCATAACCTGGTGACAAATGATACAGTCCTGAAAGAATAATAGACAGAACCACCAGTTTTGAGCATCTCCTTTATGCTAGATATCATGCTGTAGTTTAGTTGTTGTTTTATATATTCTCTCTTTTGATCCTCACAAGAAGCCTAGGAGGTAGATATGGTTATTTGCGCCTTATAAATGAAGAGAGTCTTAGAGAAATTATGTAACATATTCAAGGTCACGGTGCCAGAACAGGAAGTCAAACCCACATGACCCAATGCCTATGCTCTTAACCATGAATTTTAACATATTCATGAAGAGCTTCATAATTTAAAGCGATACACAGATACAAGGTGTTATGAAAATCAAAGTTACTGATAGAATGGATTTTTAAAATATGTGAAATATGTGTATGCATATATATGTATCTATGCGTGTGTGTGCATGATTATTTGAACATAAATTTACATCTATCTATCTTTCTATCTTCTTCTGTGGGTGAGAAACAAGATTGGTTGTAGGATCATTTAAAGTCTTACTCAAATCTAGATTTTTATTGCTTTATGATTAGCTTGTGTCTGGGGTCTATTTTTTTTTTTTTTTTAGGAGATAGAGTCTCTCTACATTGCCCAGGCTGGCCTCACTGAACTCTTGGGCTCAAGTGATCTTCTCGCCTCAGCCTCCTGAGTAACCTTGACTACAGCACATGCCACCACACTTGGCTTCTTTCCAGTTCTGGATGGAAGCAGTTTTTTAATGCTGACCACACTGTTCAAGTTCAATAGGACTTGATGAATTGAATTCCCTCATCAGGTTAAGGGAAGATACATCCATTGAGTCTAAAGAAACTCAAATCAATACTGACAGTGATATGTCTATTTTTTTCTAATAAGTAAACCATTTCTAGACCTAAGTTAAATTTATAGTCTGACTCCTCAGAATTGAATTTCCTCAAACTTGGCAGAAAGAAAATGACCTGTTGGAAAACCAGTCCAACCTAATAGTAAAAATATCCCATTGAGGGAGACAGAGTTGTCTGTTAGGATGTTTGCTTTGTATATAAAAATAGCTCAGGGAAAGTGAAAATGAAATTTTTTTTGGTAGTCTGTGAACAATGTACTTTTAGTTTCATTATGTAAATCAAAATCAGGAAAACAACATGGGACGTAGCAAAACAGACTCCTTCACTGCGGGGAGGGCAGCAGCCACAGGTTGGGTTTTGAGCTTCCTAACTTCATAAAGCTCCTTTAGGGTATCAGTTGGGGGACCTGGGCTAGGGGAAGGGGTGTCCAAAAAGTGCTGTGGTTGGGAGTTAGGAAATTAAACAAGTGGGTGCCTAGAGAAAGAAGGATTATCTCATTGGGAATTATATACAGAGCCCCAAATGGCCAGAAATCAGCCATTTTTGATACGAGTTTGAGATCAAGGAATGCTCTGAGGGGCGCTGGATTGAGACAAATAGTAATAGAGAAGTTAGATTTAAGTATTTTGCTGTGCCAGATTGGTCTCTGTTACTGAGTCCTTGGTTTATCTGTTTGTTTCTGTCTTTAAGTAATCTACAATTTGAGATCTCAGTCTGTGTAAGAATTTTCACTTCTAAATGTGATCAGCAAAATATTTACAAGAGCAAATGAGTGAGGTTTAAACAAAAACACAAAGGGGCCAAGTTATTTATATTCACAAGATTGAGCTCTGGAAAGA